TTGATTGTAATTCAGAATACTTGACTTGCATATATTTAAGTTTATCTTTATAATGATGCTACTTAGAAACAATGACTTTGTTAAATAATTAATTTTTTACAATGGTCCTTTCTTAATTTGAATACTTAAGGGAGTAGCTACAAAATAAAGCCAGATGTTATCATTTATGAGTCTTGACTGTGTGTTTTCCTAACATGGAACAGCAGTATAAAGTCATTTACAATAAAAGTTATCATTAGGGCTATACTATACTTATAATATAATAGGTCATGTGTATAATTCTATTGTAACTTACGGGGCACAGCAATGTCTGTTGAATGAGTTACCACAGCAGTCCCATAGACAGTCAATGTAATCAGGTTGTTGACTGAAATAATTTTGATACTTTGCACATCTCCATCCTTCTGCACCTAGATTTATGAGGGAAAATAATAAGTCACAACAAGTCACAATACATTCTTAAATTAACCTAAATCTACATCCCAGTACTACACATGTCTGCATTTTTTAATTATTAGACTAATATTACCTGCACCTACTAATAATAATTATAATGGTAAACTTATTCTCAGTTAGGAATTTAGAAAATAGGAACTATAATTAATGAACTTGATTGGGCATAGTAGGCTATATAATATAATAGTAAAATAGTTATAATAAATACCAATACTAGTAATAGGCCTACAGCCAACTATTATTTAATTTAAGTTATTAGTATTAGTATTAGTGATAGTTATTATAGTTTATAGTAGTATTAGTAATAGTATAGTCTAAGTATAGTACTGGTACTAGTAGGCCTAAATAAGTCCTGATAAACTTTATTAATGTCACTGAACATCAAATTTTAAAATGTTGAAAAACCTCGGGCTTACACTGAAGCGTAAAACGTCACTATTGCCAATAATGAAGTAGTTGTATAAAGACTGCATGTCGTCAAAATAAAACGCGGAAGTGATGTGAGAAGAGAGTAGTGGAGTTTTGTAAATATTTTTAAATAGGTCATTTGATAAAACTGAAAAACTTGGTTCCTACCGTAGGTGAAACATCATAAATATTCTTTATTCTCTTGTTTACAAAATAAAATCCTGGAAAGATATCTCCAAATCTAATTAGTTGCTTACCAATTATAATAAATGAGACAAAGGCAACCAGATGCATCAACACCTGGACCGCCATCTTAAACAGGTAGAACAAGCTTATGGCCCCGTATCCGTTGTGTTGTTCAAACGTGAATGAATTTTAGCCCTAAAATATTGGTCCAATACATTACTCTTTTTTTTTTTATTTATTTATTTTTTTTTTTAAATTATTATTTACAACTGTATTAAATAATGTTCACCTAGACGACAAGTAATACGAAGGTTTTTTAAATATAACTATGACTATCAAGGGAATTCAAAATCAGGGACTAATTCAATATGAGCCAAACAAATTACAATTATAACTGAACTGGTAAAAATATGTGTACATATATTATATATATATATATTATATACTTAAGACCCATGTTTTCAGTATAGTTTATTAAAATAAAAGGGGGCAGCTTATTTGGTGTACATTTTAGTACATACATCGACAGGTGCAGTAGTCTGAAAATACTCAAAAGTAAAAACTTTACGTGGGAAACAAATAAAACTATTTATAAAACTGTAATCAGACCAATTCAAATTGTAACATACGCAATGGAAACTTGGACCCAAACAAAAAGCAGCAGGAAACCTATTAAACACATGGGAGAGAAAATTTCTCAGGAAAATGTATGGACCAACAAAGGGTTAATAAGCATGGAGAATAGGAGCCAACAATGAATTGTATAGTCTATATCAGGATCCCACGATAGTAGCGGGGGGGGGGTAGGCTAAGCTGGGCGGGACACTTAGAGAGAATACCAAATGACAGAGGGGTGAAGAGGGTGCATCACTAATACCCCATAGGGAAACGGCTCAAAGGCAGACATAGTCTTAGATGGATGGATGATGTGGAAAAAGATCTATACAGCAGCTTGGAATCCAAGTATAGAAAATAAAAGCATTATTTAAGTCTTAGAGGAAGGAAGTTCTGAGGTAGGCCAAAGCTCTACATGGGCTATAGCGCCACAGGGATAGTTAGGTGGATCATGGATCAACAGCCTTGCAGTTTTGGCCCGCTTCTTTGCTCCTGTCGCCAAGAGCCACGTTGTCAAAATGTTGCTGTTGGGTCTACAATACAAGGGCTTACTTACGTTGCACTTAAACTGCATTTAAATCAAGAGCACAACGACCTTGACCCCTTCGTAGCGTAAAGATATTAATAATCTCAGACGAACCTAACAGGAGGAATTCATTGTGACAACACTTGGCATAGTGACAGGCCTGACGTGAATACATTGTGCACACCATTAAAGCTATTTATCGTATTTATATTTTAATGCCCCCAGTGTGCCCTAATGACAGTCCCGGCTCAAGTCACCGGCAACTCGGGCAGTTGGACGGGGCGCCATCAACGATCTTCCCCAACATAGGAAAAAGCATTACAAATGGGCCAAGATGGCCGCCATGGAAGACAAGTGGTAGAAAGCGCAGTGAAAACATTTGCTGTCCAAAAGGCTAGAACAAAATCATCAGTCTGCTATTTGTTTATAGGCCTACTATCTAAATACAAGTTAAGAAAAAGAATTCTAGGTAATAAACTCATTACCTAGCCTCTGGGTTTTTTTTTTTCCCCTTGCAAATATTTTTATGATTATACTTAAAAGAAGGGTCAAAGTTAAGCTTGCCCGGGGTGCCAGTCAGGGCAGTCAGTAGGGGGGGGGACCAAGACTTGGCCGATTTATTGGGTTGTTTATTAATGGAAGCGCCACAGTGGGCCCTACATAGCAAGTTAAATAAAACCTGAAAATTCAGGGGGAGGGGGGACAAGTGCCCCCCTGCCCTACCCAAAATGACGTGCCTGGTGCCAGCAACCGTAGGGCTGGCCCTGCCTAATGAAGATGGGTTTGACATCCCTTGACTACGATGACAACTCTATGTCTATATGGATAATGGATTCCCGAATAGGGCCCGAGTTGATAGGATGATGAGCTTATGAAACACTGAATAAAAGTTTGAGGATATTAAAAATAGTATTCTTTAACAACAACAACAAATTATAAATATATATAATCAATTTTTTTCTGTAGTATGTCCATCTCACAATCTCAAAAGTGTCAGGTGGACAGCAGGCTAAGAACCACTGTAATATTTTAAAGTATGAACCGCAGTAAATCAAATCTTTAACTAACAGTGCCTCATATCCTGCCGTCTGAGTCAAGTGCCGTAGAGTTGCCGATAACCTTACTTGCAATGTGGGTAGCTGTTTGAGCTGTTTACATCATTTTTTAAAAAAAAAGTCTGTGATATACAATATCTCTTGATTTCTCTATTATCCTCGTTCATTGTCCCTCCGTAGATTGGTTTTTACAACAGCAAAAACAATATAAAAATGAAAATAAGCAATTACTGCAGCGTAGTTTCCGAAAAGAGAACAAGAGGAATGTGGCATACATAACTTTTGCTGTCCTGTCGAATACTACATTGCAGCTAAGTGTTTATGTTATTGTTATATTGTTTTTATGGTTATTTGTTCGCTGAAGGAGGCTTTTTGTCGACACGTTGTTGTTTTGTTTTTTTGTTTTTTGTGACCTTTTTTTCCTTTCCCCCTTGTTTTCCCATACTTTGTCTCGCTTTTTCTTTATGAAATTATAATTAATCGGTTCTCATTCAAATTATGTAATTTTATATTTGTTTATTTTTCGTTTTTTTTTTTTTTTTTTGCAATCTTTGAAGTCAGTTTATTGTCTTTTTGTTTCAAAATTGTATGGATCTTTCCTCAACCCCTGTTTTTAGTTTTTTTTTTTTTTTTTTTTTTTTTTTTTTTTTTTTTTTTTTTTTTTTTTTTTTTTTTTTTTTTTTTTTTTTTTTTTTTTTTTTTTTTTTTTTTTTTTTTTTTTTTTTTTTTTTTTTTTTTTTTTTTTTGCAATCTTTGAAGTCAGTTGATTGTCTTTTTGTTTCAAAATCGTATGGATCTTTCCACAACCCCTGTTATTAGTGTTATTATCTCCCGTGGCCCAGGGGGTGCGTGCACCCTTGGTTAAGAGCCCCTGCACTAGGCCTAGTTTCTGTGCAACTGTGAGTTATTGTTTTTGTTGAACTGATGACTAATATCATAGCTCTTATACATTTTAATAGCTTTTATATAATTATGATAAAATCATTGTTTTTAAAAATTAAATTGGATAGGAGCCTATAATTATGTGACGAATTTAACATAAGCGCCCCTTTCCAAAAAAGTGCTGTAGAAACTTTCCTGACCATATTTTTAACTTTAATGCTAAATTATTCGTTCTTGGTACGATAATAGTAGGATATTATTGATCTGATAGGCCTACCTCTATTTGGGAGCTTAAAATAAACATTGTTATTCGGTCCGAGATTGAAATTTACCTCTTAGCATAGGAGAATTCAGTGGGGTGCGAGGGTTGAAAAGATAGCATAAGGGTGGGGGCGGGAACAGTTTAGTTGCCACGTTAAATCTTTTTTTTTTAAATCAGTTTCAATCTTCTAATTACTATATATATTTAAAAGGGTAAAATTGTTTAGCCTAGGCCTATTTATTTTTTAAATTCTTAATTTAAGTCTAAAAAAAAAATCAAATATTGTTAGGCTATATTCTTTCACTTTGTTTAGTTAGTTGGCTGCATAATTAAATATTTAAGCTTCACTTTACAGGTCTACGAACATTGATATTTGGCGAAAAAATGGGATTTAACGCTGGACTGGCGCGGGCAATATTAAGTGACTTGTTTTAAGTCTTGAAGTTGAAGTAATTTAATAAAGTAAGCTGGTTATTAGTCGCCTAAACTAATAAAACGGGACATCATGGGTTTTATGTAAATGGTTTTAAAAATGTGGGGAGACAGGGGTGATCGTCATCGAAACGCCTACCACCTAATCCTAATAAATAATCATGTATTCGCCCATGTCAAAGAAAATGTAATTACCGTTCCCCATTCACCCCCATGCCCATGCCATTGGCATTTGTTCAACTTTTGATTTTACGTGGAAATGAAGTTTTGTGCGAAAAGGGAAGTCACTCTTAACACTGCTTAGTCTGTGAACTCTGGTCAGAAATCAACGACAAAAATACCACATTCAAAGTTACAGACTACCAGAGTATTGAAATCCACATATTTCTGTTTTAAAACTAAAAGAAAGTATCAGGGAGAAAATTTTAAATTCTTTTATGGCTTGCGCTAGGGATCCGAACTCGTATTCTGAGTTCGATAAATGCATTGTTACTTTTCTTGACTGGAATGTGAGAATAAACTTTGATGACCACACAATCGGTGGTTTCGCCCATTTAACAGTGGAGAAGAAAGTTGAAAATCCAGATAACTTGGTAAGTCCTGGTAAGCATATAATAACACTAATTTGAGTAAATTAGATAAATACTGTGTAGTCGTTATAGGCTTTACAATATCTATAGATACTATAGTCAGTTCTTCTTCTTCTATAATATTAAGTCCCCCCCCCCATCAATCATATCATTCTCAGTTTTCTGGCTCCTATGTAACATGTATGTAAACGTAGAGGGGATTTGCAATGTTTCTGTGACTGGTGTCAAAGATAATATTTCACTGGTTATAGACTGATTCAATATTAGGGGCAGGAGCCTTTACTTAGCAGTGACATTGACATAGCTACAAGATTTTAGCCCCTCCCTTCCAGCTGGCCAAAAATGCCCCCCCCCCCCCCACACACTTTTTCATACATACACCATTGATGCTTAGGCATACAATTTCTCAAACTACAATAACACACTGAACTGAGAATGATTTCCTTTTTTTAAAAAAAGCTTTGCAGATTTGGGCCATCCATAAATTATTTCACGCAAATTTTGCAGCAATTTGCCCCCCCCCCCTTCGTCACAACAAGTAAGACCCCCCTGGAATATAACGTCACAAAAATCTGCACGTAAGCGGAGGAGCTAAGCTTTCAAAGGGGTGAATAGACAGAGAGAAGTTCGGTTAGATAGGAAGTAGGAATTTGAGAAAAAGTTGTGGCAGAGAACAGAGACTTTTTGGTCAATCTGTGCTTGCACAGGGAGCCAATGAATTAGTGGTGTGATGTGATCACGTTTTATTGCCTTTAGAATTAGCCTAGCAGCTGAGCTTTGAACTTTTTGTAATTTTTCTAAGAACTGTTTTGGTGAACCTGACAGAAGAGAGTTGCAATAGTCAAGACGAGAGAGAACAAGATCATAGATTAGGGTTATGCGTCAATCTAGTTTTGTATCATTCTTTATTTACATAATGTAGAATTCTAGTAGTAACCATTTGTTGTTTACTATATTATCAAACACATGTATCAAGAAAATATTGTGATAATATAATGAAAAATGGATCAGTTAGAACATTAACAATGTAAATGAAAATAATATTATTAGCAGCTAATAATTTGGACATATATTTTTATTAATATTACATTAAGATAATTTTTTTTTTTTAATTTCAGGTGCTTGACATTAGGGACATAACAATAGAACAAGTAACTTTGAAAGAAACTGCAGCATCTTTGGAGTTTGAAGTCACCAACCCATCAAACTTTAGTTTTGGGTCTAAACTTTCCATTAAACTTGGCAGCATTCCAGGAAAGAGGTACTTAGCAAGTTAACCAGGCAAAAAAAATGTATATGCTTAGCTCTAGGCTACCCTCATATATTGATTTTACTTTTAAATTTTAGCTTCAAAAGCCAGAAGAAGGGTATGCTTGAGTATGAAATTATTCCAATACTATTTCAGGGTTTAAAAAAGGGGCCATCCATAAATGACAGGGGCACTTATTTGTGATGATGTGAAAAAAAAGTGTTAACTTTTTTACAATTTTGTTGATATTTGGGGAGGAGGCTTGTCAAAATCAGCCAAAATAGTATGACATTATTTATGGGTGGCCTGTAAAGACTTATAATTTTTTTAAATTAAAAAGTTTTGTGACATTTTTGCATCAAGGTAGCTGGTTTAAAGTTATTTTAACCTCTTTTTTAACCTGAAAAATATCATTTTGAACTGACCAATATTTATGCACAGCTTCACAGTGAGTATAAAATATGTCACATCCACTGAAGCCTCAGCACTACAATGGATGACAAAAGAGAAAACAAAAGGCAAAAGACAACCATACCTTTACAGCCAGTGTCAAGTAAGTAATATAACAAGGATTTTAATTCTTTTTTTTTGTGCTTTTTTTTTTGCTTTTCCTTTTTTAAATAGTAAGCCTAATTAAAATCTGTATTCATTTCGTTAATTAGAAACAGAACCCTTGCAATATATGACAAATGTTTTAAATAAAAAGTTTCACTATTTTTGTGTTCTACTTCAAATACATGCTAGGCTATCCATGCCAGAAGTTTGCTCCCATGTCAAGACACACCATCCGTCAAATTTCCATATTCTGCAAAGGTATGCATTTTATTTTTTTGCTGATTATTGCTGAAATCATCTTCAAATTATGAATTGCTTCATTTTTTTTTCAAATGAAATTTTAAGCAAAAAAATACTCATTGACTTCCTATTAAATGAATTTTTAAGCAAAATATACTTATTGACTTCTTTTTAAAAGATTTTATAAGCACAAAATACTCATTGCCTTGTTTTCAAATGAACTTTTAGGTAAAAAAATACTCATTGAATTGTTTTCAAATGAACTTTTAAGTAAAAAAAATACTCATTGAATTGTTTTCAAATGAACTTTTAAGTACAAAATACTCATTATCTTGTTTTTATATCATCAAGACCTTGGAAGAATTTTATTTAAATAATTGTAAATATTGTATTGCAAATGGTCAGGTCCAAGCAGTAAAGGAAATCACTGTTCTAATGAGTGCAGAAAGACTAGGCACAGAACCAGCAGCTGATAGCCCTAATGAAGTTGTGACTAAGTTTTCCCAGAAAGTTCCCATCCCAAGCTATCTTATTGCCATTGTGGCTGGAGATATTGAAAGCAGGTTAGGCCTTATTCATATTTTGCTCCTGCTATATCACATTCAGGGTTTTTGAGTTGGAAATTGTTAAAAATATTGTTCCTTTAAAATTTTAAGAATAAATGTATCTCCTTTTTTAAGAAGTGAATTTATTTCTTTTAGGATATTAAAGCATGAAAGCTTTTTTTATCTACACTGAAATATATAATAACCTATATAGAGAGTTCTTTACAGAATTACAGATAAGTTTTAAATTTTCAAATGTATTATTTTAGGCAGATTGGCCCAAGAACAAGGGTGTGGTCTGAAAAAGAAATGGTTGATGAAGCAGCATATGAGTTTGCAGAGGTTGTAAAATAAGTATTATAATCTTTAATAGTTTAATATAGGGTTTGATAAATAGTTGGATAAATAAAATGTCTTGGTGCGGTTTGTGATTTTATTTTATTAACTGTAAATCTAACATAACTTTTCTGGAAAGAGATTATGAAACCTTTTTTGAAAGCAACATGTCACATCTTGTGATCTTTTTAACTAGACTGAGACCATGCTAAAAACAGCTGAAGGGATTGCTGGGCCTTACCTCTGGGGAATTTATGATCTGCTTGTGTTGCCACCAACTTTTCCTTTTGGTGGGATGGAGAACCCATGCCTAACATTTGTAACACCTACAGTGCTGGTAAATTATTTCTTTGAAGAAATCTTAATCAGGCATAATTAAAAATAAATGGTGGTCCATTTTTTTTTTTTTCATTGTCATCTACAGAGGAAAGCATTATGTACTAATTTTTCTCAAATTATCAAAAAGTTTACTAGGTAAAGTGACATATGGGAAATAATGGATATTTCGTTAAATATAACTGCTAAAACTTAAGTATATACTAATGTTAAGACAAAAAGTTGCCCGAGGTGTTATATATTTAGACCTAAAATGTACCTGCGTGTTTCTTGGTACATGTACTGCTTTTAATTTGATATTACATTATTTTTTTAAAAGAATTATGTAAAAGTTATTAAAAGTGATGTACTGTGATGTACTGTGATGTACTGTGATGTACTGTGATGTACTGTGATGTACTGTGATGTACTGTGATGTACTGTGATGTACTGTGATGTACTGTGATGTACTGTGATGTACTGTGATGTACTGTGATGTACTGTGATGTACTGTGATGTACTGTGATGTACTGTGATGTACTGTGATGTACTGTGATGTACTGTGATGTACTGTATACTTTCTGTAGACATTCATCTATTGGCAATGCAGTGTGCAAACCAAAAATTCCTCGGTTCAGACAAGTTAATTTATTTCTACAATCTTCCCCTCAGGCTGGTGACAGATCTCTTGCTGATGTCATTGCTCATGAAATTTCTCACAGTTGGACAGGAAATCTTGTAACAAACAGAACTTTTGAAGACTTCTGGTTGGTCAAATGTCTTGGTCAAGTCATGCACATATCACAAGAATCATCATTCAGCTTTTTCTTAAAGAAACCTAATGGAACTTTATCAAAAAAATATTGATTTAGTAATTATAGTGTTAACAAATTAATGGGTTCATAAATTAAGTATGTAAATTTAATAAAAAGTGTTGTTGAACTGTTCATACGTAATACAAATGTATTATTAGATTTGTTTTAGTAACAAAATAAGACCAAAATGAAGAAGATTTAAAGGTGATAAATTCTTACCCTGGTCATGTGGTCAAAGTCTCCACTGACGGCTCAATGCTCTGCCAGTGAAAACAGAAGCCACTCAGTCAGTTCCCAGGAGAGGTGACCTCCATCAGAGGAGATATCATAGCCCAGTGGGAAACAGAGAACCAACTTTGATACAGAACTGGAAGCAATGCTGGTTACCCTTAAAAGCGTGCGCCAACACCTAACGAAAAGGAAAAGTTTCCCCAGACACTGTGGTTCTCACCGACTCATGCTTTGCTCTTGAAAGCCTGGAAAGGGGCTCAATGGAGGCTACAGTAATGAATGCCATTTTGGAAACAGTAGATAGCAACTATGTTGAGATGGAAAGATTTTCCTGAAGTACATCCCTTGTCATGTTGAGGTGATTGCAGCATGACCTTGAGCGGGAGGTTCTGACTATCCCCAACTTTATAAGCCTATGACTCAGCTGGGAGTCAAAGTTTGGCCAAAAGACCATTTCCACAAGGTGTGGCTCAAAGGCTGGGCAGCAGCTAACACAGGATTAACAGCTGTACCAGAATATGCCGCAGTGGAAACTAAAACATAACGAAGAGAGTTTAGCGCTGCAAATGAGAATGAAACACTGCCAGCATGCAGCTACCTAAACCGACTAGACTCATGTTTGGGCCTGAACTGCCGAAACAGTGAACCACCTGTTGGTCGGCTGCCCCAAAAACAGTGATGGCATTGGAGGTTTGAATACAGAAACCTTTGTTAATGACTTCATTTACGGTGCTGCCTGGTCTAAAAAGTGTAAGATTCCCCCAACAAGAGAATGTCATAGATTTAGTAAAAAATAACATAACATTGAGAAGTAATTGGGGTTTTTCTTGTGGGGGGGGGAGGGGGGGGCATTCTTTTTCTAGTCTTTTTCTTAAAAAACTTTAATTATGCTCAGGTTGTTAAAATCACCTGACTTCATGTTCTTATTACAATCACCTGACTTAATGTTCTTGTTACAATCACCTGACTTCATGTTCTTGTTACAATAACCTGACTTCATGTTCTTGTTACAATCACCTGACTTCATGTTCTTGTTACAATCGCCTGACTTCATGTTCTTGTTACAATCACCTGACTTCATGTTCTTGTTACAATCACCTGACTTCATGTTCTTGTTACAATAACCTGACTTCATGTTCTTTTACAATCACCTGACTTCATGTTCTTGTTACAATCGCCTGACTTCATGTTCTTGCTACAATCGCCTGACTTCATGTTCTTGCTACAATCGCCTGAATTCATGTTTTTGCTACAATCGCCTGAATTCATGTTCTTGTTACAATCGCCCGACTTCATGTTCTTGTTACAATCGCCTGACTTCATGTTCTTGTTACAATCACCCGACTTCATGTTCTTGTTACAATCGCCTGACTTCATGTTCTTGTTACAATCACCTGATTTCATGTTCTTTTTACAATCACCTGACTTCATGTTCTTGTTGCATTTACCTGTCCTTATGTTCTTAACTACAAACATGTATTAAAATTTACTATATTAACCTTTTCTGTTACCACTTGAATAGGCTCAATGAGGGACACACAATGTTTCTGGAAAGAAAAATCTTGGGAAGGATGCATGGAGAATCACTTAGTCAACTACATGCTCATGAAGGATGGAATAACTTGAAAGATACAGTAAGTTAAACACATTTTTTTGGCCTTTAAGCAATTTTTATTTTGTGGGACGGAACTCAATTATTTTTGTACAGTGTTAAAGTTTGATTGAGAAAGCAAATATTGCTATCAAAGAAACAAGTCTGTAATTGTTTACTTCTTTCTATATCTCTATACCTGGGGGTTTCATGTTTCAATCCAACATTTGGTGAAGATTTAGTCTTATTGATCAACCCTGCAGAATGTCCATTGTTTTAGGTAGCTGACCTGACTCGCAGAGGCCATGCACCATTTACAAGGCTGGTCCCTGATCTGAGAGGGATCGATCCCGACGATGCCTTTTCTCTTGTGCCTTATGAGAAAGGATTTTCTCTTCTTTACCATTTGGAGACATTGCTTGGAGGTCCAAGTAAGTATTTGTTTGTATAGCCTTTGTGTCACTGCAAGAAATATTTTAAAAAATCAGACATGAGGAATGATGGTATTTTTTATTATGGTGTCATCATAACAAGTTATGAAACCATTAATTTCTTTCATTTTATGCTCATCTTTTTGCTTTTCTTTGTATGTTATGAAACTTTGAACAAGTGAATTGTTTGTTGAGCTTTGTGTTGGCTTGGCATTGCCCATAATTGTTTCAAGCTCTCTTCATATTTTAATATTAATATTTTCATATTTTAATTTTCTATTTCTAGAGGTATTTGAAACATTCCTCAGAGCTTACATTGAGAAGTTCAAGTATCAATCCATTGGAACCCAGGACTGGAAGGATTTCTTGTACCAATACTTTGCTTCAGAGGTAAAATGTAAATAATCTCACTGTGGCTGAATATGTTTTTCATGGCAGGTGGGAACAAAATTTGTCTTCATTTGGGCATGATCAGACTCTTTTTTTTTTAAAGTGAACATAATCTGATTTAGGCACTTGTTAGGGACTTGAGTGTATAGTGTGATTGCGTGTTGGTTTGAGATTATGTGTGTTGTTTTATTCATTATTCTTGGTATCTTGTGACGTATTGTGTGGAAAAGGATATGACATAGAGTAGTTAGTGGTGTTGGGGTTGTTGTGAGAAATGGCAGTTGAAGCTGTAACTTATTTGTGTAATAAAGATATTTAAAATGACAATAATGGTTGGTGAAGTATATGTTATTTAAGCGCCCCTAGACAACGAAGCCAACGAACCTATTAAGTAAGAATAGGTTTGTAACACACTATTTGTAACTGTTAGGAAGAGAGTATTTGTCTTATAATTATCTCTTCCTAACAATAACAAATGGTACATAAATCAGATACATAAATCAGATTATGTTAAATGTGTAAAAAAAAAAGTAACTGATACAATACCCAAATATCCAAATCATTTACAAAATTTCTTTTAATATTGAAGACGTATATTCTGGACTAATATCTCTTAGTTTATAGTTTATACTTTGAATATTAATGACTCAACAATATCATCACCTTATCAATATTATTGTATCAAAAATATCATCTTATCAATATTACTGTATCATTAGAGTCTCATCGGTATTTTTGTACTCATCATTGCAGGAAGATCAGAAAAAGTTGAACTCTGTAGACTGGGATGCTTGGCTCAATGGTCAAGGTTTACCTCCCTACAACCCTAAGTATGCATTACGTGACTTAACCCCAGAAATACTTTTATAAGAACAAATGATCCTATAAACATCAAACACTTATCTGTAGGAGGATGGTATGCAAAGTGTATTTGTTGAGCCTTCTCGTCCATGAGGGGCATCCACCGATCATCGTCGGCGTCTGCGGTTCCTCCAAGGGCATAGGCCACCTACGAGAGACCTCCAGGCATCTCTATCCTGGGCCAGCTTCTCCAGGATCTTCCATTCATGGCCAATTTTCTTGATGTCTGTCTCCAATTCTCGGCGCCAAGTGTTTCTTGGACGGCCTCTTTTCCGCTTACCCTGTGGGTTCCATTTCAGGGCTTGCTTTGTTGTGTTAGAAGCAGGTTTTCTTAGTGTATGACCAATCCACCTCCACCGCTTCTGGAGAATCTCTTCCTCAATGGGTTTCTGTTTTGTCCGCTGCCACAGTTCCTGGTTGCTGATTTTGTCTGGCCAGTGAATTCTGAGAATCCTTCTTAGACAGTTGTTGATGAAGGACTGGATTCTGGTCAGGTTTACGGCCGTTGTTCTCCATGTCTCGGCTCCATATAGCAGCACAGGTTTTACCATAGCGTTAAAAATCCTTACTTTTAACTTGCTGCCTAAGTTGTTAGAGACCCAAACATTCTTGAGTTGTTGGAAGGCTGCTCTTGCTTTTCCTATCCTTATTTTGACGTCCGCATCTGTACCACCTTGTTTATCTACCATGCTGCCAAGGTAAACAAAACTGTCCACCTCCTCAAGGGCTTCTCCTTCAAGCATAATGGGTGATGTACTGGTGGCATTAACCTTGAGGATTTTACTCTTCCCTTTGTGAATGTTGAGACCCATGCTAGCAGAAGTGGCTGCGACAATGTTTGTTTTCTCCTGCATCTGTTGTTGGGTATGTGCAAGAAGTGCAAGATCATCAGCAAAGTCAAGATCATCCAGTTGATCCCACAAGGTCCATTGGATGCCATTTCTTTTCTGCTGTGTAGATGTTTTCATCACCCAGTCAATGGCTAACAGGAAGAGGAATGGTGACAGCAAGCAACCTTGTCTCACACCAGTCTTCACCTGGAAAGCATCTGTCAACTGCTGGCCATGGATAACTCGGCAGTTTATCCCTTCGTACATGTTTCTGATTATATCAGTAATCTTCTGTGGCACCCCGTAATGCCTTAGCAATCTCCACAGGGTTTGCCTGTCAACACTGTCGAAGGCTTTTTCATAGTCAACAAAGTTGACATAGAGCGGCGAGTTCCACTCTAGTGACTGCTCTAGAATGATGCGCAGTGTCGCTATCTGGTCCGTGCAGGATCTGTTGGTGCGAAAGCCGGCTTGTTCGTCCCGCAACAGAGGGTCTACAGCGTTTTTCATCCTGTTAAGTAGTACACGGTTGAAAACCTTTCCTGGGATGGACAGCAGGGTGATCCCTCTGTAGTTCGAGCAGGAGCTTAAGTCTCCCTTCTTTGGGATCTTGATAAGGTATCCCTCTTTCCAATCGGAAGGAACTTGCTCCTCTTCCCATATCTTCATAAACAGAGGGTGTAGCATTTCCACACTGGTTTCCAGGTCCGCCTTCAGTGCCTCTGCTGGGATGCCATCAGGTCCCGCAGCCTTTCCATTTCTGAGTTGTTTAATGGCCCTGCTAATCTCTTCTTTGGTGGGACTATTACAGTCAATTAGCAGGTCATTATCGGCTGGTTGGATATCTGGTGGATTTCTTGGTTCAGGCCTGTTCAGGAGCTCTTCAAAGTGTTCCTTCCATCTCCCTCTCTGTTGCTCCTCACTTGGTATGGTGTTTCCCATTTTGTCCTTCACTGGTCTCTCTACCTTGCTAAATTTCCCTGACAGCGTCTTAATGGTATCAAACAGTTCCCTCATGTTCCCCTGGTGAGCTGCATCCTCTGCTTCTTTAGCAAGTTTATCAACAAATTCCTTCTTGTCCCTCTTGATGCTTTTCTTAACTTCCTTATTTGCATCTGCATACTCCTTCTGGGACTTGTTTTTCTGTGCTCGGGTGCGGCTGTTATTCACTTCTGATTTCTTTCTTTTCCTTTCTTCTATTTTATTCAGCGTACCTGCTGTCATCCATTCTTTGTGTGCCTTTTTCCTGTTTCCTAGCACTTCTTGACATGTTGACTGGACTGTTTCTTTCATGCTTTGCCACTTTCCTTCGGTGGTTTCATCTTCAAGTATTTCTTGTAGGACTTGGAACTTATTGAATAGTGAGATTCTGAATTCTTCCTTTTTGGCTTGGTCCTTCAGGAGGGAGGTATTATACCGAGTCCTGTATGCTGTTTGCTCGGTATAATGTCTCTTTAGTTTTAATTTCATCCTGGCCACAAGAAGATGATGATCTGAGGCAATATCAGCTCCCCTCTTAACACGTACGTCTTGGAGAGATCGCCTGAATTTTTTACAAATACATACATGGTCTATTTGGTTCATCGTTCTCATGTCCGGAGAGACCCATGTAGCTTTGTGAATCCTCTTGTGCTGGAAAATGCTCCCCCCTATGACCAGGTCAGCTGTGGCACATAGGTCCGCAAACCTCTCACCATTGTCGTTCATCTCGCCTATCCCTTGCTGTCCCATAACCTCTTCGTACCCTGTGTTGCTATTGCCGATCTTGGCATTAAAGTCTCCCATGAGGATGACGATGTTCCTCCGTGGGCGATCCTGGACTATGGTCATTACTCTATTGTAGAATTCTTCTTTGTCTCCTTCATCACTTTCATTAGTTGGTGCGTAGCATTGTATAACATCTAGGTTGATGCTACGTTTCTTTGTTCGAAAGGTTGCTAAAAGAATTCTAGGTCCATGGGCCTCCCATCCAATGAGTGCTCCTTGTGCTGCCCTTGATAGCATCATAGCAACACCCAGGGTATGTGGGGCATTGTCTTCTTCGTGTCCCGAAAATATCACCATCTCTCCTGAGATTAATCTCTTCTGTCCCCATCCAGTCCATCTTGCTTCACTAATTCCGAGAATGGTGAGCTTATAGCTCCTCATCTCAGCGGCTATTTGTGCCGCTTTACCAGCCTCGTACATGGTGCGGACATTCCAAGCGCCAATGACGGTGGTAGTCCTGGTAGAGATGATGGTTGTCGGCTTAATAGCTTCCAGGTTTCGGCTTTCACTATTAGGCGTCATATTTTCCTCCTCAAGGAATCCATCCTCTCCCAGGACTGAAATGTCTTTTGTTACTCTTTTCGGTGCTTTTGTAACTATGATTTTTTACATGGCAGGGTTGTTGGCCTTGCGCACAACCACTTGGGGGGTTGCCCCTCACAGCTCAATGGGTAGCTGCCTTTGTTCGGGTTAGGTCCCTAGCCTTTGTGGATCCCTCCACTTCCTACAAGGCAGTAGGGCTGATTTTGGTCCGCCCCGGGTATTTTATTTCCCCGGTACCCTCCATATCTGGCGGGCTTTCCCCTATCCGCCGGCTGGGGAGGCGCTCGATAGAAGATCAGCATCTCCCACGAGGAAGTGTATTTAGGAGGATGGTATGCAAAATGTATGTAGGAGGATGGTATGCAAAGTGTATGCGAGTTGACCAGCTAGCAGACGTATTTTAAAATAGACAAGATTTATTTTGTGCTTTACCAGCCTGATTGTTGTGTGCATCGTCCCCAGGTACGACACGAGTCTTGCTGACCCTGTCAAGGCCTTAAGTCAACGATGGATTGAAGCATCAGATGAGCAGCTAGACGCTTTCAGCCCAGAGGATATCAACAACATTTCAAGTGAACTTATCAAGGAGTTCATTTCTCTGCTCTTTTTAGCAAATGTTTGTATTTCTTTCTATACTTAATTCTGGCATGTATCCATGTAGTCATGGCAGTGGCTGAATGTGTAGTCTATCTGTCTTTTTAATCTTGACACATGGGATGGGATGGATGGGACTCGTTAACCTTGGATGGCAACTCATCTAATAGAAGGCAAACTCTAAAATCAAACTCCTGGCGATGGAGTCCCATAGGCTGTATGACACTGGCACAATGAACATTCCGACAACTCCTGCAACATAGAATGCATAATGAATAAAGTGAAACACAAGACATACTGCTGGTCATCTACTGCATCCTGGTCTATTTCTAGTCATCTGGACTAAGTCTTGCCATTGGATCAAATGGGCAAGGATGGGAGAGCGAGGCTGATGAATTGAGCAACTCTCCCTCACTTTAATCAAAATACAGCTCAAGTCAAGGCTACTACTCCAGCCTTTGTCACATTCACGTTCAAAGTACAAACAACACATCTGGTCACTGTGTAGTCTTTTTGTCTTGTTAATCTTGACACATCTGGCTAGTGTTTAGTCATTTTGTTTTCTTCTTTATGTATGTTATTTCTAATAACAAAGAAAGTCTTGCGTGAAATATCTGTAAATAAGATAAAGATTTAATGTAATTCCTTGCGGTAATTGTGAAAAAGTAAATAACATGGGAACATGTTTGCAGCTAAGTAATGAAACAAAGATTTAAGACAGTCCGTGAGTGATTTTATTTGTCGTGTTGTTTTCTTCCTAGCCGCCCATTTCTTTAGCCAAAGTTCAGCATCTGGAGAAAGTTTACAACTTGAATCAAATTAGAAACTCTGAAATTAGATTCAAGTAAGTGCAGTTTGTTTTGTCCTCTGATGAAATTATTGAATGTTTAACACTTAGTAACAGTCTTTTACAAGAAAATTTTTAACACTTGCCTATTGCATCAGCTATTGTGTATCCACTGCGTTCCACCACCTCAAACTGAAATTTCATCTGGCCGTTGATAAAAATTATAAATTATTTAACCTTGTTTGGGTAATTTATTAAAGCTTCAAAAATGGTAATAAAACAGATAAGTGGTCATATGCATCTCATATTTAAGCCTATAATAACGGTGACTTCATACCTTTATTCTACCTAAAGGTGGCAGAGATTGTGCATCAAAGTTAGATGGGAGGAGTCCATACCTCTTGTTATTCAGTTCTTGAATGAGCAGGGAAGAATGAAGTTTGTAAGACCATTATACAGGTTAGTTTGTCATTACTACACCATTGACTCATACTTGTAAGGTTGTGCTTTATACAACAAATAGACCATGCTAATCATAAGAAATCTTTATAATTGGTATTTACTAAACCTGATATATTGTAAAAAAAACACACACACACAAAATTGCTTTACCTTATAGCTGCATTCTTATCTCTCTATGTAAAAAAAAAAATTCTGTTTTCAACATGAAATTTTGTACCCAAACTGTTGACAATAAGTTTTATAAATAAACATTAGTGTCAGGACCCAAACTTCATTAAGAGTCATACAAGACTAAGGTCTACAAAAATAAAGACATTTTTTAAATTCATTCTTGCATTTAGGGATCTTGGTGAATGGGATGTGGCAAGACCAAAAGCCATAGCAAACTTCATGGCTCATCGACAGGAGATGCACAACACCACAGAACAGCTTGTTGCCAAAGATCTAAATTTGGAGTAATTATTGTTTCTGAAACAACTGTAAACCATTGTTTCCCTTTTTTTGTATGTTAATCTAGCTATTAAATGAATCAAATATTTGTATTTTCTGAAGTCTCCTTTTTCTTATATTTGATCTTCACTAGAATGGAAACTGTTATTAAAACACTGTCTTATGGAAACACTGTTATTAAAACACTGTCTTATGGAAACATTATTCTAAAGAAAACAACACAATCTTAAGAAGTTGTATTCAATTTAATTCCCTCTATATTTATTTATTTCAATTATAAATTATTATTTTTTAAAATGCTGACTTTAAATAAATTAGTTGTGTAAAACTAAAATAATTTCAAAAATTTTGAATAATGGAGCAATATTTTAAACACACATGATTTATTTGGAGATAAAGTTATTAAATTTTTATTGAGCAGATTAAATGCTCTTAATTTTTCAATAATTTTCTCCTCCTTACATCAGCTAATATCAACATGTTCTATAAAGATCTGTTCAACTTTTTCAAACTTGCATTATTGTTACTGAATATCACAGGATTAGACACAAGAACCTTTCAGCTTTCTACTAGAGCAGTGGTTTCCAACCTGTGCTCCAGGAAACTCCTATACCTAAAGGGCTAAATTGATTTTAAAAAGGGGCTCAGCGAGTCAAATTTTGGGAACCAATTCACTAGAGATATCAGCGATAGCACACTGAATTTTTGTGTGGCCGTATTTATTTATTATTAAGATTTAAAAAAATCAAAAGCCAATAATGATGCTTAAGGTTTTTTTGTTAGATGTGCTCCATGTACTTATTTTAACTATTTTTCATTTATCTGAGGTTTACTTATCATAATGACAAAAATATTTTGCAGCTCTAAAACTTGTTTTTTAAACTCTTCACCAGTTAGACAAACATGTTCCATATCATGCATTGATATTGTGTATTTGGTAATTTATCAAATGCTCCTCAGAAATTGTGAATTTACATTTTTTATACTGGTCAGTGCAGTCTGTGATCCAGCTAATTTTGACAGTGTTAAACACAAGGATGTATTATAACCATGGCATTTGTTATGGTACTATAAAATAATGGAGTTTTGTGACAGACCATGTTGTATGGAGAGCGACATTCCATTTAAAATGTTGTTTTGAGTAGTCGGCATACTGTCAATACAAATGAAATCAACTTCTCTCAAATTGTTCCAGATTGAATGCTTTATTTGTGTGTGGTTAACATAATAAAATCCTGAATACTAATTATGTGATTTATCATTTTATATAATCGTTATTTTTTATGTATAACTTCTTACATTTTTTTGGTTGAATATATTGTGTCATTAACAAAATCTCCATAATCGTCCAAAAAAAAAGGCCCACAGTCGACACCAGCCCACCGCCACTTTTTATTTGGCATGTGAGCTATAAAAAAAAAATAATTTATTCTTATCATTTTAAGTAAATACTCTATTGGAGCAGTATGAGGTGCTCCTCCAGCATTTAAAAATTCACAATGGACTCTTCTGTTTACCCCCCCCCCCCTTATAAACCTGCATATTAATGAAACATCCATCCTACCCTTAATGAAATGCATTTATGTCCATTGATACTTGTGTCTGTCCATTGGTACTTGTGTCTGTCCTTTGGTACTTTACTTGTGTCTGTCCATTGGTACTTATGTCTGTCCATTGGTATTTCTGTCTGTCCATGTTACTTATGTCTGTCCATGTTACTTATGTCTGTCCATGGTAGTTGATCTTCTGGTTCATAGTCGCCTTCTATCTGAACCGTCTTACGTTGGTACTAAACCATGCTTAAGAGGCCGCTGCAGAACTTGTCCCTTTACACTCCAAACTGAAAGCATTAGCCTCCCTAAAGGTACCTTTACCATTAAAGAGGGTTTCACCTGCGTAAGCAGAAATGTAATATATGCGATTGTGTGCCGTAGATGCCAATCTAGTTACATAGTTGAAACTGGGAGAAGATTGGCTGACAGGTTCACTGAACATCTAATGGATATTGAGCAATGTAAACCTTCCCCGGTCTCTTCTCATTTCAACCGAAAAGAACATAAAGGTGCATTGGATGTAACCAGTACGGTCATTACGGCGCTGATTTCATGCAGTAACACACCAGATAGTGTTAAAATGGAAAATAAATTTATTCAGCTGTTTGGCACCATATCTCCATATGGTATTAAGCAAATAATATCCTACTGATGTTTCTCTGTTTCCCTATATTTCATCTATATTCTTATTGCTGTGTGTTGATGTATCCCTGGATATTCTGGTCCATTATTATTGTGGACTTTATTTTTCACAGTGTCAATATAATTTATATTCTCTCGCTTCCTGTTTTCCCACTTCCGGAGACACGAATGAATACTGCTTGAGTTGTCTACTCTGCTCTTTTCTTTGTTATATTTTCATTTCTATTGTTGGCTGAGGAAGGCTTTATGCCGAAACGTCCTTGTTTTTTGTCCTGTTATCTTATTTCAAGCTTCCACATACCTCGTTTCGCTATTTCATTTACTTATGTCTGTTCAGGTGCTAACTAGGTAGAGCTAATACAGGAAAGACTATCTCAACCCTGACCCAATTCTTATTGTTACGTCATTTTTACCTCCCGCCTATAAATAGTTTCTCCCTAGTTCTAATTATAGATAGGAGCCAAAATGATCAATAAATTGATCGTGGGCCCTTAAGATATAGAAGAAGAAGAAGATATTATTTCAAAATAGGTTTGTTTCATCAGCCGGCGTGCCTTACCTTCTTACATGTGACTTACCTCCTTACATGTGCCTTACCTCCTTACATGTGCCTTACCTCCGCCTCCTTACATGTGCCTTACCTCCGCCTCCTTACATGTGCCTTACCTCCGCCTCCTTACATGTACCTCCGCCTCCTTACATGTACCTCCGCCTCCTTACATGTACCTCTGCCTCCTTACATGTACCTCCGCCTCCTAACATGTGCCTTACCTCCTTACATGTGACTTAACTCCTTACATGTGCCTTACCTCCTTACATATGCCTTACCTCCTTAAATGAGACTTACCTCCTTACATGTGACTTACCTCCTTACATGTGCCTTACCTCCTTACATGTGCCTTACCCCCTTACATGTGCCTTACCTCCTTACATGTGACTTACCTCCTTACATGTGACTTATCTCCTTACATGTACCTTACCTCCTTACATGTTACTTACCTCCTTACATGTGCCTTACCTCTTACACAACCAGATCATTGTATGTCCCTGAGAATCCTCTAATGTATTTGTTTATGAGAGAATTAACTTTATTTTAATAGGCTAATTTAATTACATAGCAAAATACACGAAGAAACGTTCCTCTTTCACAAAGACATATGCCCAATTTTCCCTTCAGTTCGACAAGGAAAAAAGTCACAAATCATGTGCATTCCCTTTCCCTAACACTTAAGTTACAGTGCACAAAATAATTACTATTACCGTCCGCGCTTTAAAAAAAATTAATTTGGCCCACCCCTGCTAAAGTAAATTAGGCATTAATTACAAATTATACTAAACCTAATGAATCATTAATGCATACAATATTTAAAGATCTGCATAAACAAAACCTCCAAAGTTGATGATGTGCACAGCACTACAAACAACAAACAAACAAACGGCCAAATTTGATGAACTGATACAGTCACAGCATTTGAAACATAATCAAAAGTTAAATGTTTAGAAAACATTAAGAACGCAACCAATTGAATCGCCAAACTCCTCTAAGTCATAGATGTAAGGCGCCCCTATCTGCTAAGATCGGAGTGCAAGTCATACATGATAAATGCGATGTTGTCGAATGGAGAACCATCGGTAAGAGTAAAGCTTGACAATATTCATGGCACTCCACCATTTCTGTATGTTACTTCCATAGTCTACGGGGTGGGTGGTTTGGGGGGGGGGGTCAGTTCTCAAATTAGCTCAGGCACGACCTACGAGAACTCTTGTGGGTCATGGGTTTGGGATTCGTTACCTTTTTTTTTTTTTTTTTTGCAGTGCCGTGTCCCCGCTCCATTTAAAATTAAAAACATTTCCCGGAGCACGACACCATCCAGATAAAAAAAATTATTGGAATAAAGTAAACAAATAGGAAATAATCCAGTCATTTTGGGTACCAGTAGTTTCCCTTCTTTGATTAACTTGCTAGAAACAAACCAAAAATTCACCGGCACCCAAATATTGCCACAAAAACAACTGCTGATAATTCTTTTTAAATACCGTACTCACAGGAGGGTGCGTGCCACCCGTTGCAAGAACCCTTGTATAGAGCCCTCGAGTTAGTTTATTTGTTATAGTTTGTAATGTTAAGATTAAGTGACTGTAAAGATCCTGCCTAGTTCGTCGTCTACCTTACGAGGGGTGTTAACGATCGTGACAGCCAGTTCTCAATTATGATTATGAAATCGGGCCATTCTGTCTATATAGATCATCATCTACCTTTCAATTGAAGTTAACAATCGTGACAGCCAGTTCTCAACTATAATTATGAAAAGAAGAAACTTATCTTCACTTTTGGGGGAAAATGTTCAGAACGAACAAATTATTATTTTTTTTTTAGGAAATACTGTTCAAGAAATAGTATTTACCAAGCTAAATCAGCCAAATATTTCAGCTTTATTTTAGACTCCACACCAGAAACTAATCATGTGTGGCAGCTGTCATTTACTATCAGATTTTTAGATTCAGAAGACATAACAATAAAAGAACATTTTCTTAGCTATAAGACTGTTATGGAAAATACAGGTCAATGATTGTATGAAAGTATAATTGAATTTTTAAAAGATAGCAAACTAGACACACATATGCAGAGGTCAGGGCGACGTCAAACTAGACTTGCACATATGCAGAGGCCAGGGCGACGCCCAACTAGACTTACACATATGCAGAGGCCAGGGCGACGCCAAACTAGACTTGCACATATGCAGAGGCCAGGGTGACGTCAAACTAGACTTGCACATATGCAGAGGCCAGGGCGACGCCCAACTAGACTTGCACATATGCAGAGGCCAGGGCGACGTCAAACTAGACTTGCACATATGCAGAGGCCAGGGCGACGCCCAACTAGACTTGCACATATGCAGAGGCCAGGGCGATGTCAAACTAGACTTGCACATATGCAGAGGCCAGGGTGACGTCAAACTAGACTTGCACATATGCAGAGGCCAGGGCGACGCCAAACTAGACTTGCACATATGCAGAGGCCAGGGCGACGTCAAACTAGACTTGCACATATGCAGAGGCCAGGGCGACGCCCAACTAGACTTGCACATATGCAGAGGCCAGGGCGACGTCAAACTAGACTTGCACATATGCAGAGGCCAGGGCGACGTCAAACTAGACTTGCACATATGCAGAGGCCAGGGCGACGTCAAACTAGACTTGCACATATGCAAAGGCCAGGGCGACGTCAAACTAGACTTGCACATATGCAGAGGTCAGGGCGACGCCAAGCTAGACTTGCACATATGCAGAGGCCAGGGCGACGCCCAACTAGACTTGCACATATGCAGAGGCCAGGGCGACGCCAATGTTTCCAATATGAAGGGGAAAAAATAAAGGAGCCCAGGCTTTGATTAAGAGGGAAAATCAACGTTCATTTTATATGCCCTGTGGATGTCGTAGCCTAAACTTAGTTGCCTGGAATCCACTTCTATTTTTGGTACTGTCCAGTGCATATATGTTTTCTGTTCTGCCTCTCCTTGACGATTGTATGTATTAAAACATATTTACTGCCTTATTGCAGTAAAACCTCTTGCGTGACTAGATGGCATTGCAGAATTGAATGTGTGAAAGCCATTAAATATGAAATTATGGGAATTCAAGAAGCTCTTTATAAACTTTCAGAAATGTCTGCGTCTGATCTTTTAGTGCGACAGAAACACTTGTATCACTAATACAAGATTATGGTTTTTGAGCAATGATTAATGTCTGGTTTGATATCTTAGGCAGGGTAAATATTTTCAGCAAAACTATGCAGGAATACCGTGCAAATAAATTTGGAAAGGTAATAGAGGTAGCAAAAATAAATAGCTATATAATTAAATGTAGTGCTCATTTTGAGAAATAAAAAAGACTGAAGGGGGCTGCTTGAATATAAGTGCACTGACGAGATTCCAAATGCAGGCGACATAATTTTTGCTTAAAATCACGTATTAAATATGATACTAGGCAGAGCTATACATTCTTTATGAGGGAGATAGGAACATTCTCAAAGTTTCAGTAACACATGTGGA